CCCCCCTAAACGCCCACTTCCATTTGAAGGCTAGACTCCTCTTGGTGTGCCATGATCCTTGGACAAGGAACTCTCCCATTGACTCCTTCTTCATCAATGGTAGGGAGAACTCCATCAGTAAGGTTATACAGTCATCTAAAAAAATAATATAATTAAAACATCAAAATAAGACACCCTAGGTGCTGGTCAAGCTCTAAGTCTAGCCACTTTTCAAAGCAGCTACCAAAAGACTCCTTGTCATCCCAAAGCCTCACACCTGATCTGTTCCCCCACATAGTGAGATCATCACAATCCACATCATGGAAATATAAGGGTTAGCATGTATAAAACCAACCATAATACAATATAAATGAAATATCATCAAACCAGATATTCATCATCAACATTTATCCATACCAAGGGAATGACAACATCATTTACATGTCCATCTCCATGCCAAAATAAATAATTTCAAAATCCAATGTATACACATCCATACCAATGCGTACATAATCTATAATAATAAAGAATCCATAATCAATGTATACAATCCATAGCAAATGCATACATATTCCATATCCAAACCAAAGTCACACCACTGTCTAATCCCATGAAGTAGCCAACACATCCAAACCAAATGTTGGCCTCAACACATCCAATCCAAGTGTTGAGTTTGTGAACATGTCACCTGCCCATGTCACACACCTAACCTCTCATGGAAAATACACTGTTGGGTTATGTCGTCACGTAACCCTGGTGATTCTGGCCACTTCATCCATTAGTATGACTCGACCTTACCCCCATTACCGGTAGCAAATAGAATGCTTAGAGGAGTACTTCAAAATCCACTTAACATCTGAAGTAGTTTATTATATAATCTTTGGAAAAGTTCCATATTGGGATCCTCACCATGGGATCCCCAAAATCCATGTTTTCCCAAGGATTATAGCCAGACCTCACCAAGAGATCTCCAAATCCATACCATAACCTTACTCCTCTAAGTCCTATTAGCTTTCCAAACCAAACATATATAAACATATTCCATAATTACGTGCAATCTTTTCCATAATCATGCCACATTCCATACCAGTTGGACAGAGAGCCACTAGAAGTTGCCCTCTCAACGCATAGACCCGTGTGCTCAGCCCATTTCGAAATGCGCTCAGCCCATGGTTAAATGCGCTCAACGCGCTCTGGATAGAAAGCTTTGTTCTTTAGTGTGCTTAGAGCATCATTGCGTGGCTCAGCGCGCATGCATCAGACAGCGCGTCGGAAGTTCGAAAACTCTGATTTTCACCCTCAAATCCATCCCAACATGAATCCCAAACCAAATTACACGATTCTGAATCATTATAGAGTATAAACACCATTCAAAAATAACATATTCAGCGATAAAATCAAGGATTAACAATTAATCCATGAAAATCATGAAAAACCCCAACCAAACCCTCTCTACTCAATCCAACCTTAATCATGCATAAAACATGGAATCA